AGAGAGAGAGAGAGAGCGAGCGAGTGGGGGAGAGGCCGAAAGAGAAGGGGAGAGAATCTCAGGCAGGCTCAGCACTGTCAGCATGGAGCCCACGAACCAGAACATCATGACTCGATCTGAAATCAAGAGTCAGATGCTTAACCGCCTGGGCCATCCAGGCGCCCCTTGACTTTGTAAGTCAAGTTTGGTTTTATTCTAAGAGCAATGGGAAGCCATTAAACTGGGTTTCCTGTGGGAGCGTCATAAAAGCTGAGTTATGCTTTCAAAGCCCAGCTGCTGTCTGGAAAACGACCGGAAGGAAAGCACTGCCACAATCATCCAAGCCAGACGAGACAGTGGTGGACGGGACGGAGCAGGGGGTGATTTCTGATGGATTCGATGGATAGGAGTTGATGATGGGTTGGCGATTTTGCTTCAGTGTGGAAGACCATCGTGCTGCTGACCAAAGGCAGGGGCTCCAGGAGGCACAGGTCTGGGGCCAGTTATAATCAACATGCTACTGTGGTTCTTCCTTTCATGCAAACGGTGGGGGACATGGTCTCTAAAACATAAACTAATAGGGGCACCTGGGTGACCCACTCCTGCTTTCAGCTCAGGTCATGATCTCAGGATTTGTGGGTTCGAGCCCCATTTCGGGCTCTGCGCTGAGAGCGGGGAGCCTACTTGGGACTCTGTCTCCCCCTCTCTCTGCCCCAACCCCGCTCACTTGGGAGGGCACGCTCTCTCTCTCTCTCTCTCTCTCTCTCTCAAAATAAACAAACATTCAGAAAACACATAAACTAGGGGGCGTCTGGGTGGCTCAGTCGGTTAAGCGTCCGACTTCGGCTCAGGCCGTGATCTTGCAGTTTGTGAGTTTGAGACCTGCATCGGACTCTGTGCTGACAGCTCGGAGCCTGGAGCCTGCTTCTTTGGATTCTGTGTCTCCCTCTTTCTGCCCCTTCCCTGCTTGTGCTCTGTCTCTCTCTGTCTCTCAAAAATGAATAAATGTACATAAATAAATAAAACCACATAAACTAATCAACACCTACAGGAAATTTTAAAAGAAAAGAATTTAAAGAAAATACAGCTCAAGTGTACAATACTCATTAGATGAAAGTGTTTATGTTACTACTTTTACTTTAGTGACTCAGAAATCTGGTTAATCTTGGTTAAAAAAATTTAAAACTTACGCACCATTAGTAGCCAAATGAAATCATTGTAGTTTGTTAATTGCATAAAAAACCTCCATATCAACATAGCATCTCCAATCGCCACCTCCTAAATGACACTGAAAAAAAAAATCTAGCTAGTTTCAATAGGTCAAGAGGCTCTGCTCTCAAAAACATTTTTGTGCATTTTTTTTAGGTTTCCTTATTTATGTATTATTATGAGACAGAGCGAGAGAGAGAGAGAGAGAGAGAGAGAGAATGCAGGAGGGGCAGAGAGAGAATCCCAAGCAAGCTCTGCACCCGATGCGGGGCTCGAACTCATGAACCATGAGATCATGATCTGGGCTGAAATCAAGAGCCGGCCGCTTAACCCAATGAGCCACCTAGGCGCCCCCCCCTCCCATTTCTGTGCATTTCTTAAACTGGAATGTACTGTGGACCTAGGAGAACCAGAAGACGTCTTCCCCCATCTGGGTAGTCAGTAGAAACAGGCACTGTGGTAGGGCGAGGGCCGAAGCCATGGGGTGGCAGCTGGAGGACCGACCGGGCAGGGCTCGGAGGACAAGGCAAAGACAAACAGCAGGGTTACCGCCTCCGCCAGCACACTGGAGACTGGTTCTATCGGACTGTCCCCTCTGCTTGGCTCAAGTTATGTCCTTAAGTGGGTCCTAAACACTGGGGATATGGGAGCACCTAGCTCATCACACACGTGTGAACTTTCGGGTGGATTAGACTGTAGTTACTGGGTGTGTGTAAGGCGCTTCCTAACATGCTGAGCTGAAACAGAACTCTGAGATCCAATTCTTGCTCTCAGAGTTTAAAATCTTTATCTCCAGCCCTGGCTTCTCTCCTCAGCTCCTGAGACGTGTTTTCGATCGCCTGGTAGACATTTCTAAAGGTCCCACCGGCGTTTCAAAAAACTCCTACCAAAGTACTCTCATGACATTGTGCAGTCTCCCAATCATCCTCCTGTTTCTCCCTCTGTTCTGTCACCTTCCCTAGAACCTTTGAAATCATGTGTCTTCTTCCCCTCCCTCACCTTTCACATTCAGGATTAACTACATCTCCTGAATCTCTCTGAAATCAGTCCCTTCTTTACCTTTTTTAAAAAAAAAAAAACCTTATCTTGAGAGAGAGAGATAGAGTGAGCAGGGGAGGGGCAGAGAGAGGAACACACAAAGAATCCCAAGCATGCTTTGCACTGTCAGCACAGAGCCTGATGCGGGGCTAGAACTCACGAACCAGGAGATCATGACCTGAGCTGAAACCAAGAGTTGGATGCTTAACTGACTGAGCCACCCAGGTGCCCCTAACCTTTTTTCTTAAAAGTTTACTTATTTATTTTGAGAGAGAGAGAGAGAGGGAGTCCCAGAATCCGAACCAGGCTCCAGGCTCTGAGTTGTCAGCAACAGAGCCCGATGCGGGGCTCGAACTCACCAAGTGTGAGATCATGACCTGAGCCAAAGTCGGACAGTTAACCGACTTGAGCCACCCAGGCGCCCATGGATCTCAAAATTTCAAGCTTTCAAGGACGGGTGTGCTACTGGGCCCTCAACCCAAACCACCTTGATGACAAGAGGGTAAGGGAGTAAGTAGAATTGAGAATCAAGTTCAAGTCCGTCTCCCAATCAGCCCTGTTCAATAGAAATGAGGGCCACGTATAGAATTTAAAATGTCCTGGTAGCCACATTTTAAAAACAAACAGATGAAATTCATTTTAAACAATTTTTTTTATATATCCAAAGTACTATTTCAGTATGTAATGAATATAATAAGTATCAGTTAGGTATCTCATTATTTTGTTCCCACTAGGACCCCTGAAATCTGTATTTTGCACTTAGAGAAGATCTTAAATGAACTAGCCTCATTCCCAGGGCTCAAAAGTCACAGGTGACAAACGACTATAGTGTCGGAGATTGCAGGTTTAGGTCCTGGGCTTCTCCCATTGAGCCTTTAGTCCTAGATGGCTCTTCCTGCTAGACAGATGTCCTGTGAAAACAGGGAAGTCCTTTGCCAAATTTCCCCAGGCTCCAGGAGTCCACTACTAATCTACTTAAATAATTTAGAACTTCATCCTCCCCGTATTTATTTCCTTCCCGACCCTCCATAAGCCTTCGGTGGGACACTTTTGATAGCATTCTAATTCGAAGAGAGAAGGAGTATCCGATCGGCTTCAGGCACTTCTCTTTCAACCGTTGCTCCGGGGGAGGAGGGAGGGGTACGCTGCCGGGTCCCACCCCCAGGGATAGATCAGGGCCGCACAACACAGTCCTTGCTAAAATCCCAACGGTTACTGCCAGCGATCTTTCCACTTAAGTGCAGCAGCTTTATCAGTAAGTTCCAGGGCACCACTTGTTTGTAACGATGAGCTCGTGCTCCAGAACTCGCCGTCATCACAGTCCTGCCCCGCAAATGGATTCATTCCACAAAGACTTCTCAAGCGCCTGCGTGCACACACTCTAGGGGGCAGGGGAGCCGAAAAGCTCGCCTAGGGGGACCCCGGTCTAGTAGGGGAGGGGAGTGTCCCAACAACCAGCCCGTGCCAAGCACCCCTCCGGCGCCAACACACGCAGCAATCGCCACAAGCCTCGGGGGCAGATCTTACTGTCGCCTGGCAGAACAGTACGAAGAGGCCGAGCAACTTGCGGCCACCCAAGGCACCGACCCGAGCGGCCCCGTCCTGAGCCCCGCGCGCTCGGGCGGCCCATGGCACACCCGTGGGCGCCTCGGTCTCCGCCAAGCGCCGCTCGAGGGGAAGCGCGGCCGCCGTGACCTCGGACGGCGAGAACGGCGGCACCTCACAATGCGCTGGAAGCGGAGCCTCGCGCTCGGGCCCTTCCTCAGTCGTCGGGGTCGCGTCCGCGTCGTGCCCTCCGGCGTCCTCGCTCGAGGAACGGCCCGCGGCCGGGAGCCTCCCGCACCGCTCCCACCAGACCCCCGACCCTCGCCGCGGAAGCGCGACGGCCCCGGGGCGGAAATTGCCGGCCCGCCGGCTGCCCCACGAACTACAGTTCCCGTGAGGCTGCGCGGGGCCGGGCGGCCTCGGCGCAGGCGCGCGCACGGCGTGCGTGGCGGCGTCAGCAGTTCTAGAACGTTGCTGTGGTAGCGCTCGGGCGCCATGTTAGGACGAAGGGGAAGGAGGAGAAGCGCTTAAAGCGGCGGGAGCGGTGCGGGAGTGGGGTTGGACCCAGGGCTGAGGCAGGCCCCCCCCTCCCTCCCGCCTCAGTGGATCATGCCCAGGGCGGCAGCGGCGGCGGTTGCGGGGGGGAAGTGACTGGGCGGTGCCGGCGCAGGAGACGATGCCGTTGTGAG